TTTACGGGGAGGAGGATGATTCGGATCGGCGGCGGTGGGAAGACCTAAAGGAGGGGCTGGAGATGAGGGAGAGCCACGATTTGGACACCAGTTTGAGGCGCGAGAGGGTTTTTACGGGGAGGAGGATGAGGATGTCGGAGACTACGTCGAGAGGGAGGGACGACGGGTTCGACGAGTATAATTCCTTGTTGGTTTCAGAGGAGGAGTTTAATTGGAGCTTTGTTGATTGATGGGGTGCAGTATATATTATTATAAGTAGAGGACGAGGACCAGATGAGAAAAATTGAGGAGGAGGAGGAGGAGGAGGAGGACTAGGGCAAACAAAATTCTCCCCAAATCCGGCCTCCCTCTTTGAATTAAAAAAAAAGGAATTTTTGCAAAGTAGAACTTTTTTGCTAAATAATTAGCAAAATAGACTATTTTGTTAAATAATTAACAAAATAGGTCGGTCGATTTTGAAAAACAACTCAGAAAACATACGGGACTAGTAGTCCCGTATGTTTAGAGCCAACATAAAAAAATCACGGATTAACGAACTTAGAAAACATACCAAAAAGAGAATTTTGATAAATATTTATCAAAAAATGACAATTTTAAAATTTTTCCCATTAACAAAAGTTCAAGTAGTAGCTCTAGTCAGAATAGGAGAACAAGTACTATTCACAAGCGAACAGAACATCTATCTACTTCTTTGTTACTAAAGGAGAACAACAAAACAGATAATATGAATAGTAACCTAAGATTACAAAAGATTATAACGAATGAAAAAACTAAATGAATAACCAACCCACGTCCTCGCACGTCTAAGGCAACTGCTCTCTCACAAATTCCCTTTCTTTCCATCCCTCTTTCTTCTTCCCACCTGGACCGAAAATCCTCTTTTTTCTTCACAACAAAAATTAGTGTTCTCTCACACACACACACAAGGGATCCATCCAGTCGATTCGAATCCATGGCATCTCAAAGGCGTATGCTTCTCAAGGTCATCATCCTCGGCGACAGCGGGTTTCCGTACATCGGCCCGACTCTTTTTTTTTTAATTTCATATTTTGCGTCTAATTCTTTGTAATTTTTGTTGACTTTTGTTTGATCGTGTTTAGGGCTGGGAAGACCGTCGCTGAATCAGTATCCTTGAGTTCTTATGAGCTTTGAATTTCAATAATCTGTATTTTTTAATTTGATCTGAGATTTGGAGTTATTTTACGCGTGATTTGGACTTAATTCGGTAATTTTAGATATGTGAATAAGAAGTTCAGCAACCAGTACAAAGCCATGATTGGGGCTGATTTATTAACCAAAGAGGTTCAGATTGAGGACATGCTCTTCACTTTACAGGTTAGATTCCCCTTTTTTGTTTTCATCTTTTTTTTCTTCCTCAAAAAGATTTTTCAGGTTTTTATTTTGTGTTAGTGCCTACCAATTGAGCTATTTTTATTCATATTAAAACGCGGGTGATGATAGACGCTACTGCGTTTGAGTACCATTTTTCGATTTTCTGTTTAGTATTTAAGATGAGTGTGGACTGTTGTGCCATTTTTGTTGATTATCATTGTGCTATATTTTGCATCCTAAGTTAAATAATCTTGATTTCTTTAGGACAATGCTGGAGTTGGTTGGCTACTTTAATTAGTGTATTTAATCTCCCAGCGCTGTCAATTGCAAAATGTCATGAAAACAAAACAAAACAATTTTTTTAAAATTAAATAGAAATCTTTTATAATAAAACATAATGTCATGACAATTCAAAAGAAAAACGACTAGTGTTTCTTTCTTCTTCTTCATTCCCTCGTTTTATTCGTTTTTCTCAGATTGTTTTGCATATAAACCCCTTAAAAATCTAGCAAATGTTGTTGCAATAAGTAATGCAACATATATGTTCACGTTTATTCTGAAATATTTATAGCTGCTTTTTTTTCTAAAAAAGGAAGTATACCAAATAGTGTAAGATATTTATTCAAATTAAGCGATAAGGGGCTGTTTGGTTCATTTCCTAGATACAGGAAAATGCATTTCCATGTACAAAAACATAAGTTTTGAGTTTTCCAAACTTTTTGAAGAAATAGATTGTTTCGTTTTGGTTCACACAAAAAAATGGTGGGAAACCAATATATTTATTTTTCTTGTGTTTGGTTCGCATGGGAAAAAAGGAAAAACTTTTGTTTATATGGCAAAAAGCTGATGTGGCTGCAGTTTTCGTCGATTTCACAAGGTTGAGGATGGAATTAGGGGAGAGAAAAAAATCTGATGTGGCGGCGATTTTCATCGAATTTCCATTCTTCAACCCTAGCGAACCAAAGATGGGAAAAAACCGATAAAAATCTTATATCCTACGTGGCCACGAAAAATCTGATGTGGAGACGGTATAAAACTTTTTCACCGAGTTAAAAAACGAACCAAACAGCCCCTAAAACAATCGACACAGAAACTATACAATTTCAACTGAAACGAATAAGGAAAGATTATCGACACAGAAACTATACAATTTCAACTGAAACGAATTAGGAAAGATTTCATAACCGATGAGGTGACATTGATTTTTATATTTTATAGAATTTACAATATCTATTACAACCGATTAACCCAAGTGTTTACCACATTTTTTTGATGAATAATATGTTCGCCGACCTTTTTAATTTGAAAAATGTAAATTCCACTGCAGCATTTTCTTCTGCAGCGCTATATTTTAAGTCAAAAAAATAAGTAAAATATGTTATGTAAAATGTCGAAAAAAACAAAAAACATGAAGAATAAATTTAACAAATAAAGAACCACCACCCACTCAGGGCCGGCCCTGGGGTAAGCCCACCAAGCCTCGGGGCTGGGGCAACCCAGGGCCTGGGGGCAATCCATCCCTTCCGCTCCATCATCCCTCAAACTGTAATTATCTTGGATTTTTGAAGTGGACTTTGTAAGAGAACATTTATGCAAAAATTATAAGGGGTTCTATTTGTAAAAGAACTCTAATGAATACCCAAAACCCTACCCAACTCCTTTATTTCCATCAACATTTTCTCTCCTCCTTCCCGTCTTTGTTCCGCTCACAAAAAAAGAAAAAAAAAGAAAGAGAGAAAATCGCTCCTCTCCTCCTTCCCGAGTCTCCAACGGTCCGATCTTACTCAGCTCCCATCGGACTCATCCTTTTGGCTTTACCCCGCTGACTCCTCCAATCCAGTCAGGCATTTTTTTTAACTGAATAATTTTAGGGTTTTTTGGACAAAAATTTGGGGGTTTTGATGTTTTGCAATGAAATTAAGATTTTTGATTTTGAATCTTGGCTAAATCTTAGTTGTTGAATAATTGAATTAGGGTTTATGATGTTTTGGAATGAGTTGCTTATCGAATTTTGTTAACTATCCCATTTACGGTTGCTTCGGCGGAGAGAAGTTTCTCCAAGTTAAAATTGATAAAAAGTTATCTTCGCGCATGGATTAACAATGATATCAATTGAAAATGAATACTTGGAGAAACTTGAGTATGATGACTTAATTAAAAAATTCGCTTCAAAAAATTCAATGAGAAATATTTTTTTTGAATTAAATTGTAGCACAAATGTAATCTCTTATTATATGAATATTGATTTTGCATGAGAATATTATCAGTTTGAGCCCAATATAAAATGATAAATTGTATTATATGTATTCATTTTTATCGTTATTGTTCGTACTAAATTTTTAATATAAAAAGCAACCAAAATTGAATTGGGCTAGGGCAACCCAAAGCTCGGGGCTGGCCCTACACCCACTCAAGTGATCTATCTGAAAAAACTCCAAAATACCCCACCATTAAAAAAACCCAAATATATTCCCCCATCAACGCTTCCGTCGAGGTGGGAGGAGGAGACGAAAAAAAAAGCATCGCCGGTCGGCAACAGACCCATGGCCGAAACCTCAAACCCAGACACCAACTCCGACGATCCCCAGCCCTCCGCCGTCGCCGCCTCCATCGCCTTCACCGTCGCCGCCTCCTCCAGCGCCCATCCCCCTCCCCAGACCCTGACCCTAGCCCTCCCCATCCAGAACCCCTCCCCGAACCCAAACTCTAACCCTAGCGACAGCTGGAGCGACGGCGCCACCTCCGCCCTCATCGACGCCTGGGGCGAGCGCTACCTCCACCTCCGCCGCGACAACCTCAAGCAGCCCCACTGGCAGGAGGTTGATTCTTTGTATTGTTTGCTTGTTTGATATTCTAATTTGACTAACATTATTTTCTTATCTTGAAAGTTACGCACTTGCAAGGTTTCAAGATGCCGTCGGGAAGCAAGTGTCTACAATCGGTTAGTCATCTTCAACATATATCATTATTAATGATGCCATTTCGTATGCTTATAATACATTAAATGTGTTTATATTGCATATTACAGTGTTTATGAAATCCGATATGAGACCCAAATATTTTTCGACATATCATCGATATATTCCCTTAAATAGTGTAGCCCTGTAGGCAAGAAATTTGAATCAAATTTCATGTGATGCTTACTAGCTTGAATCTGTGATTCATAACTTTTCCCTTATGGGAGAATGAGTAGATGATGAGAATGATGACTCTGTATAGGCAGTAGGTGTATCTTTTGAAAGTTAAGTCATTGCCCCCGTCATATGGGATAATTCACTAGCATTCCTAGAAGCTGCTGGATTTATGTTTTATCTTAGTCTTTTGTTGTACATTTTTGTTGGAGATATTGTTTTAGGTTTTGTTTTGATTCCGAACTTCTGTTCTCCTGGTCTTTAAGTTAGAACCACAAACATAGTGTATTACTCTTTTTACACTACTATTTCCTGCGTATTGTGAAATAGCAAGAAGACAAGGGTTTTCCAAGTGGGGCATTTTGGTCTATGCGCATGATTTCCACGTGCACAGTTTTTTAATCTAATGGTGTTAGTCGGATGGTTTTCTGAAAATCTTAAGGGGAGTTGAGTGTCATTTCTAAAGTTTAGGAGAGTTATCTAAAAATGGCTGATTTTCACGTGCACAATTTTTTTAAGAGATGGTTTTCTGACAATCTATATATACCATCTCTCTTCTATTTCAATTTTAAAGTCCCTCCTCCCTCGCTCTCTTCCTTCCTCCCTCGCTCCCATCTCCCTCAAAATGAAGTCTCGAGAGATTGGTTGCAGACTTTGTCGTTCATCTTTCAGATTCAAAGATATTCGATTGAAGGTTAGAAATTTTAAATTTTCGTGATAATCCTTCATAATAAGTTCTATAAAAAACTTTTCATACAAAGTATGGTCCATTTTTAGGATATCTGTTCTTTCTTTAAATTCTAAGTGAATATATATCGATAAAGTTAATAACTTAGGTTTCATTGGATTTTCTTTTGTTCCCCTGCTCCAAGTTCTTTGGTAGTCGATGCTGTACGCCTTCACCCACGACGCGCAGCTGCTGTCACGGCCCTCCTCCAGCAGCCACAGATCGACTCCCGATCGCCCCAAGCACTCCATGCACAGCGATCCGCCCAGCCGCGTGAGGCGAAAGAACCACGCCCGGTCGCGCGAGTCCCGTGAGAAGTGTCTTATGCCGGGCAGCGGTAGCGTCGACCATTCCTCCTTCTTGAGATCGAACCGGGCTATTGCCTCGTCGCGCAGATTATCACCGACACCCAGCCGCCATCTAAAAATACATGGCAGGAAATGGACAGCTTCGTCGACGACGGCCGAGTTGTCGTCATGAACCCAAAAGGGGGGGCCCTCCTTCTCCCTCCATCTCCCTGACCCAAGTGTGAAGACCTCACTTCTAAAGTGCTGGTGACTGGAGCGGAAGGAAATTAGAAACACACGGAGCACCTTGTATTCCCCTGTAGAAGGAAGGTAAGCGAATGCCGCCGCGCGGCCGCCTTCCACCCTACTGCCGAGCCCCGAATATTTCCTCCTGGGCAGAATGATCTGCTCCCTGGTCGCAGGGTTTCGGATGTAGATGTCATCGGGATCGTACATGCAGACGAGGTCGAGGCAAAAGGAGAAGACTAGCCTGGGGAACCACGACTCCTCCCTCGGTGAGTAGTAGCCTGTGGTGGTTTCACGGTCTAGTAGGGCTTTCCCTCCTCGTCCTCCTCCTTGCTTCTTGTAGTAGTCTAGCACGTGCAAGTGGGTCCGGAGGTGTCCCCGACCGTCTGTTTTGCAGGTCGCCACGAGGAGGAGGGGGTGTTTGGATCGGCGGCGGCGGTGGGACGATCTGAAGGAGGGGCTGGAGATGAGGGAGAGCCAAGATTTGGACACCAGTTTGAGACGCGAGAGGGTCTTCACGGGGAGGAGGAGGAGGATGTCGGAGACTATGTCGAGAGGGAGGGACGGGTTAATTGATGAGTATCGATCGTTGTTGATTTCAGAGGAGGCGGCCATGTTAGATAGATAGATATCAGCCAGTAGGAGGAGTTTAGGGCTCTGCTGATTGATGGGGGGCAGTATATAGTCGCCACGAGGAGGAGGGGGTGTTTGGATCGGCGGCGGCGGTGGGACGATCTGAAGGAGGGGCTGGAGATGAGGGAGAGCCAAGATTTGGACACCAGTTTGAGACGCGAGAGGGTCTTCACGGGGAGGAGGAGGAGGATGTCGGAGACTATGTCGAGAGGGAGGGACGGGTTAATTGATGAGTATCGATCGTTGTTGATTTCAGAGGAGGCGGCCATGTTAGATAGATAGATATCAGCCAGTAGGAGGAGTTTAGGGCTCTGCTGATTGATGGGGGGCAGTATATA